GGCAACAAAGTCTCCCTTCCCTTGAGAGCATAGGGGGTGGCAGCACAGGTCCACTCTCCCACACACAGAGGCTGGGCGTTAAACTACTTAGGGAAAGAGCAGACTCGCAGTACTCTTCTCCTACCATGCACAGAGTCCTCTACCGGGGTAGTGTTGATGGGGCTCCTTAGAACAGTGTCTTGGTGATAACACTCAATTGAGATGCACCTCTTAGAGCACTGTCTCAGGCAACCTGCAGACTCAGGGAGATTATCACTGTATCAGTTATGTTCAGGCAACATTATCAAGCTTTTCTTTACCAGCAGGAGAGTGAGTTTGTGTGTGTATGGGGGTGGGGGGGATGTGAGAAAACCTGGATCTATGCAGGAAATAGCCCGACTTGATTATGTAAAGAGTTGTCACTTTGGATGGGCTAGCACCAGCAGGAGAGTGAATTTGTGTGTGGGGGGGTGGAGGGTGAGAAAACCTGGATTTGTGCTGGAAATGGCCCACCTGTTGATCACTTTAGATAAGCTATTACCAGCAGGACAGTGGGGTGGGAGGAGGTATTGTTTCATATTCTGTGTGTGTATATAAAGTCTGCTGCAGTTTCCACGGTATACATCTGATGAAGTGAGCTGTAGCTCACGAAAGCTCATGCTCAAATAAATTGGTTAGTCTCTAAGGTGCCACAGGTACTCCTTTTCTTTAAGCTTTTCTTTGCAACCAACAGAGCTAGAAACTTACTTTTAAGTAAATGAAACAGATTCTGATTAGATCACTTCACTCCAGAAGCATGGAGCATTTACATCTTCATCCAGCCCCGTTTCCACTGTTACTTTTGACTTGGTTATTTTTGCATCTGCAGTTGTTAATCCACATAGTTTTGTATGAAGAAAGCTTGTTAAAGATGTGGTAGAGGTGGATTTGAGTCTGCTTCAATGTCTTTCACTTAACACCTTTAGTCAGAAAGGATTATCTGTATCCTTTGAAACTACTGGTTGGAGATGGGGCACGGATAATAGACCGGGAGAAGCAGAAGTTCCAGTGGGTGTTCCTGACTTCTGAGAAGCCACTCTAGGCAATGGTCAGGACTCAGTGGGTTCTGAGAGGGTGTGTATGATGGATACGATGGTAGAAGAAACAAGCAATAGTTCTTTGTGGCATGTTGCTTCCTTTAGTGCTGGTCAACTTTTTTTGTTTTACTTTGTTGAAATTTTCCTGAAAAAATTAAAAAAACAACACCACCATTTTAAAATTGAGTCTACTCTCCCGCTAACCCAGCAGGTTGGGCAGAAATCCACACATGAGTTAATGCTACTTTACCAGAGGTAACTCTAGTCCAGAGCCCGAATCCCCTCCAGAGAGGGGATAGTCACAGCTGCCAGGGATGCAGCCAATGGGCTTGGCTTCTATGGCGGCTTTGCTCTAGGGTCTTGGGGAACCTTGCTGTAGCTCACAAAAGCTTATGCTCAAATAAATTGGTGAGTCTTTAAGGTGCCACAAGTACTCCTTTTCTTTTTGCGAATACAGACTAACACGGCTGCTACTCTGAAACTTTCTTTATAGTGTAGACTAGGGAAGAGGAAGGTTAGACCTGGGCACGTGAACCCTTAGTTAGTGAGCTGTGTCTCTCTCTTTTACTTCTATAAGGTCACAAACTTTCTTCCTTGTGGAAAGAATGAGTAGAAGAATGAGTAGTTTGTGCAGGGTGGGGAATAGTTTCTTCCTATTGGTTGTCCCACTTCTGTGCATGCTGAAGAAGCAGGAAAGTTGTAACCCCTTCATATATATCTTGACTAGCACCTCATGACATTCTCATTTCTTCCCATATGTTTTCAGGAGGTAAGGGATGTGACCAGACATGGGAGCTCATGCAGGATTTATGAAATTTATTTCTAAAAAGGCCCAATCCTGCCATTTATTCTCAGGAAAAAAAACAGTGATTTTCACTTGAATTTATGATAGCAAGACTGGATCATAACATTATCTCTTTAACTATTTCCACAAATTTGGGCGAAAGTTTACATTTTGTAAAAACCAAGCTTTTATAAAACCTAAAACCAATGGAAGTGTTTCCACAATTGTTCAAGGTTCCAGTGGAATCTTAGGGCTTTAAGCAAACAAACGTACATTCCCCTGTTGCTTTCAGACCCAAGCACAGCAACACTGTGCAGACAGTGAAACTGTCTGTAAAAGTGAAATTGACTTATTTTCATTTTCAAGATGAAAATTGAAAAAACAGAATAGAGAAAGGTAAATGGGACTTTTAAATTTAAATTTTTCTTTTAAGGTACTATTAGTAACAGTTTTTGGGGGTTTAGGTTTACAATATATGACTCTTAAGGTGATGGTCTTTTAAATTGTTTTCTTGTAACTAAGAGTCTGATCCTGCTCTCATTAAAGTAAACAGATGTTTTCCTGTTGACTTAACAGAACCTGACTATGGCCCTAAATGCATGCACAGAATCACGTACACTCAGGAAAATATATCATGGACCATTTATTCTCTATAAGGGTATAGTAATGAATAGCTAATTAGCAATACGTTATGAACATATACTAGTGTTGATAAATGTAATTCCTTGTTCCACAGTGGTACATCATATATCTCATATTCAGAGACTAGGCCTATTACAAAATCAAGAGTTTTATGTATAGAAAAAAGAGCTGGACCAAAAAAATGTTTAAAAGATTGATGTGTTTATTTAAAGTTAGTTCTATTCCTTCATATAGAAATTACATATCATATTTTGTCATTTGTGTGTTTTAAAACTATATGAATCCAGTGAGTCAAATTCAGAGTAGCAGTTGCCAGTGTTCCAGAATACTGCAACATGTTAAGTAAACTTTGGGGGAAGGTGTTTTAGTTCATTTGCAAACTGGTTTTATCCACTACATAATTATGACATGAGTCACATGATATATACTCACACATACTTTAGAGTGCATGAATAACATATGAAGTAAATACGGTACTGTATCACTTTACTTTTGTCAGATATTGTGCAAACAGACATCCTGTAAATAAAACTTTTGTAGAGGACTTGTAAAATGTGGAGAATTTATGAAATAAAATGGTGAATAAAGTGAGGGACCAATCCTCGCTCTTGTTTTATGCAGTGTTAGACAAGCAAAGGACTTCAGGTGTTAGGGCAAAATTCTCCAGAGTGCAGAGTTAATTTTGACTACTTTAGTCTACGCTCTGTTTATGAGTAGTCTCAGTGTTGCCAGTGGGAATTCTGTAGATGCAGAAAGAGCAGAATTGAAGTCAAGATCTGTCTTGTGGCTCTGAAAGGAGAATTTTACTCTTCAAGTGTTTACTTATCCAGATAACAGAAAGGTCTTGCAATATTTATGCACGAAGCACTCTTACTGCTTACCATGGGAGTCCCACAGGATTGTGAAAGGAAAAAGATCATTGTACAAAAATAACCCTTTTATTTTTTAAGAGACAGACAACTATTAAAGCCCCCTTTTTGGTATGTCAGGAATCACTTTGTTCTAAATATTGCTGTCTTGTGATTAAAATAATAGTCTATCCAGAAGGGTTTTGGAAAGAACAGATATAGGAGATAAAATTCCAGTGTGTGTATCTGGCTATGTCTGTGTGTGAAGGGGAAGGCTATAAATGGAGTAAAATATTGATTCATCCAGATATATAGTAGAATCTTCCAAATTCTGTTCTTTCAGTGATTTTATATAGTATTGTTATAATTAAACTTTTACAAAATCATGTATTTTGTATAAAAGGATCACCTTATAAAATTTGATTTAATAAGCGGTACTTGTATATTACTGTATAACATTCTGTGAAAATAAGTCATGGGCAAAAAAATACACACATCGAGTCTGAGGTTAATGGACTTGAATTACTTGGGAATGGTTCACCTTCAGGGTTTTATAACCCTGGAGAACTGAATTAAAAACAGAACAGACTAGCAGTGAAATTTGTGGGGAAGGAACAAAAATTTAACCTAGCCATTATAATAAATAGAATGTCGTTTTTTAAGCAAGGGGAAAAAAAATCTGAGTTGAAGAGGGCCTATGCTTTGCTATTAAATATAACAGAGCATAGGCATGTGGATCACTTGATATTTCATGCAATACCCATCCACGTTTTTTGATAACAACTGCAATATATTACCCTCTTGTCAAATTAGTAACATTTCTATGGACCATTCATTGTTTGCTCACCCTTTGTAGCATAACAAATATGACTGTGACTGTTTCACACTTCTGCTGTTGGTGCTTGAATTGCATGTTGCTATAGGGACTTTTTACGCTGCTGGAAAGAGAATTCTGTGGTATCTCATATAATACTATTCAATTTCTTGATTTTGTGTTCTGCGCTCTCAACCTGTATTTTGATGATATACACACAAGGACTGGAAAAGAATGTGTGTTATGATGATGTTTTTAGGTTGTTTTATTTGGAAATTTGATAGAGGCCTATAATGAATTTGTAAGAACTATATCAAGCGTTTGATGGCAAGTAAGAACAAATGCATTCTTTGGCCTGAAATAAACTGCTGGCATCCATGAAATGTATAATATTATGTGGGTCAGTACAGAAGCTATGCAATCCATGTGATTGTTTTATAATTCCTTTAAATCAGATGGAAGATAAAAATATACCACTTATGTACAATATTTTGTTTCCTTTTTTATAACATTGCCAATTATGTTGACAAAATTCATGTATAGACTATCATATTTATATTGATATGTACATATACTCTCTCTCTCTCTCCCCACATCTTTGATATTTTGGCTGCAATGTTAGAATCAAGATGTTTCCTCATTAAATTGTTGTATGGAATGGGTTACCTCCTTTTGAGTCAACAGAAAGAAATTATTAGTGCTAATTAGAAGCAACCTCTTTAATGAACTTGAAGCAAATACATGAAAATATTTATAGCAAAGTGGAACTGAGACTGCATGTCCTTCAAATGGCACAAGTTAACTCAGTCATGGACAACAAACATCTTATTTAAATAATTTAAAATTCTCTTATCTAGGGTCAGTGCGACTTCGAGGTGGCAAGAATGAGTTTGAAGGCACAGTTGAAGTTTATTTGAATGGAATTTGGGGAACAATCTGCAGCAGTCATTGGGACAATAATGATGCATCAGTCATATGTCGGCAGCTTGAGCTTGGGTAAGTTTTAGTCCCAGATCAAATTTACTAGCTTATTTGAATGTCATCTTTAAGAGCTCTGTGTTTGGTAGATATTTTTAAAATCCATTATGAATGGGATATTATTCTGGGAAAAAAAGTGTTGCTCTTAGGTGATAGCTTCATTCTCAATTGATAGTCTCTAAATGACAGAGAAAGTGGTACTTCCACTTAGCAAAGGTATTAGTAAGAGAGTTGGGAATGTGTACATAAAACCTTTATATGACTTCTTCAAAGAAATGGGTATTGTGTTACAGACTTTGCAGCTGAATCCATAACTATGTGTCCAATGCTATTAACATATTTGTGAAGCAATGCCACAAAATAACATTAGGCCTAAGTCTTAATATCTTTTCTCCCATGACCCAACTTTCAAACACTCACAACTGTTACTCCTCCGATGCGCCAAGCATTTGCTGCCTGAGGCAAGTTTAAAAAGTGCCCTCTACCCAGCAGTCCACAGTTACACAATAACTAGGTAGCAAGCATGTTGCAACGACTAATATTTGCTGCCTGAGGTGTTTACCAGTTCTGTCTTATATATTAAAGCTGGTTCTCCCCAGAATCCTTACCCCCAATTCTTGTACTTATTCAAAGGAGTTGCTATGAGAATCAACACATGGTTTTTAGGCTGCTTCTGGCATCTGAAGAGAATAAGAGGCAAAGATGGTAACCAGGTTTTCACACTGAAAACTGGGAAACTGATCATGAAAGGTTAGGACATGCAAGGACTGTTTCCATGGGAACTGGGGAGCAGTGCATGGGATAGCGAGTGAAGAGTGTCAAGCAACCCCCTTCTCTTCTTCCCTACCATGCTGTAGAGCTGATTCTCACATGCAAAGAAGGGATGTCTTGAGGACTTGTCTGAAGGAGGAAGCTCATTGGAAAGTCTGAGGGATGTTGTTAAGATGTGGGGAGACCCTTGATGCATACATACTAACAACAACCCTGCGAATTTAACATGCTCATCTGGTCAGTAGGTACTTCAGGTCTCTAGGCTCAGGGGAATAAATACGGGGCCTGATTTTGACCTCATTGTACATGAGGTAAATCAGGAGAAGTGCCACTGAAGTCAGTGGAGCTATACCAATGTAAGTGAAGCCAGCATTGGGCAGAGCAATTTTTTGTAAAACCGGCAAGGTTTCCTAAACAGGCTCTAAATCTGGGATATTGCCAGTTTCCAGGGAAACGTGGTCTGTCACCTTAACAGTAATCCCCGACACCCATTCCAACAAAAGCTTTACAGGGAGTCATAATTAGTTTTTGGTGAAACTTGGTATTATTGCTACATAGGGCTTCACGTGACTAGCTGTTCTGTGTGTGTCTGCATCCCCTATCCTAAGGTTAATTTAAATGTTGACACAGCAAATCTTTTGAGAGACTTTCTCTGAACATCAGATTTGTAATGAAAGCTGTAAGCAAGCAAGTTTTGCATGGTTTCAAGTTTTCATGGAGAAAGTTTACAGAATTCTAGTCATGTTGCACAGGTTGAGAAGCCCTGAATTAGGCTAATACTTCAGCACTCCTGTTGTCCCCAGGACTTTCTGGGCCTGGCAAGCAGCAGTTAATTTCTGAATAGACAAATACAGAAATATCTATTCTACCAGATGCCTGCAGGAAATAGAAATAGAAAACAAAATGTTTTGTCAACACTCCAAATTTATTTGCGGGGGAGGGCATGTGTATATTTAACTTTCACTACCTGTAAAGTTATCTCTGACAGAGACAGGAGAATGACTGTCTAAATTACGGGATCTGACAGGCAGGTGTAACTATCAGATCAGACTCAGTAGATTGCCATAAATATTCCCTAGTGGTTTGATTAATTAAATAATAACTTTCAGGATATTTTCTGGGGATAAATTACACAGCTAGGAAGAATTGAACTGAGCGCCACTAACCGTAGCCAGTCATTTATCTCTAGGAAGTGCCTATATAGATGATGTAATTATTATAAGATGAAAATGGGGGAGGGGTGTGGTGGTGAGAAATGCTTATAAGTGTATGGATTTTTTGTCAAGGATAATGCAATTTAAGCTGCTAGAGAATCAATGCCCTGGCATTAGCCAGTCAAATTACTTGAATCATCTCAGCATCCCATTCAGTTTACAGTTTCATAGTAACTCACAAAATATGGTGGCTTTTTGCCTTTCTGACATTGTTTCAGCTATACATTAAATGTCCTTTTGTTTGCTACAGGCTCTAGGTGTTAGTGTGAAATATTTGCACTCTGACGTTTCTGGTGATTATTCCACTCTTAAGAGTGCCAGTCAGAACTGAATCTAAGCTGTTTTGGAATGTCTTAATGTTAATCTGCGTACACCAAGCCAATTTATAAAAATATGCAGATTAGAGGAGATAAAAGTTCAGCCCATCTGGAGGCTGTGATTTTGCTTATGGTTTTAGCTGCCTACGTGCAATATTTCTTTATCCTGTTTTCATTTTAACTTATTCCTACCTTCAGCACTTCAAGTATTTTGGTTGTATAGGATCCTTATCAGCAAGGAAAGTTTAGTGATGGTGTAAATGACAGAACCATTTAAACAAGGATAACTAAAAAGAAGAATCCGTGCAAACAGGAGTGGAAAACAATGTATGCTTATGTTGTCATGGCACAAACTTTGGGCCAAATGCTAAGAGGTAAAATTGTGGGTATTCCTCAAGTGCCCAGCACCTCTACACATTTGGTCCTCTGACCTTACACGGTCTGCTTTTTTCTTGTTTGCAAAGTTCATTTAATTATGGGACAAATCCGGGGCACCCTGTGTAGGCACATAAAGGACAAAAGTGGCTTTGGGTATGTCTACACTGCAGCTGGGAGCGAGCCTGAGCTCAGGAGGCTACCCCAAGCCTCAATGTCCACCCCGCTAGTTTTAGAATATTAACTCAAGCTGAGCTAGTGCAAGTCTGTCTATCCAGGCTGGAAGGGTTGTTCCCAGCTGCCGTGTAGACATACCCTTAAAAACTGTGTAAGCTGTATAGTGGAACAAGAGCACTGGAGGTCTCATGTAGGGAAGTTGCCCTTTTGTGGCCTGTGGAAGAGATCTCTGTGGTTGGTCTCTGCCACTCAGCATACAGAAGAGGGGAATGTGATTGAGTCAGAGGTTATGCAGACCCAATTGGTCCATGTGCAGGTTTGGCTCCACTATACCAATTCATCTTATACTGGAGTGGGGAAAAAACAGGCTACATTTGGTGTTCCTTTTCAGATCCTGTATTAGTGGTGAGGGCGCAAATGCATGAACATCCTGACTGACTGCAGACAAGGATTCTGCCCTGCAACTTTTTCTTGCTGAGCAAAACCCTTTTCCTGAACCCCAGGATTTGGCCCCCCATGTATTTTTGAGCAGGCATCTCAAACAAATATTTTGCAACTCTTTTCCCTAATATCCAATACTGATCTTTTCTTCTACAGCAAAAGAGGTACAGCAAAGCATACGCCATTTTCTGGACTGGGCCTTATCCCTGTTTATTGGAGTGATGTACGTTGCCATGGTGATGAAGAAAATATACTGCTGTGTGAAAAAGACATCTGGCAGGGTGGAACATGTCCTCAAAAAATGGCAGCTGCTGTCATGTGTAGCTTTTCCCATGGTAAAAGTATATAATTTTTGATTAACTTTTTGCCTTATTTGAAGTGTCATAATGTACACGATTACATTAATAAACAATCCTAGTTTAATTTCCTCTTCCAAGAAAAGATCTAAAATAAAATGTAACATAATATCATTCACTTTTTAAAAGTCCTTCCGCATTGTGAGAGCAGCAAATAGCTAATTTTTGCTTTAAAACACAGGCTGTGAGGAAGGGTCAGTTGTGCAGCAATGAGGATCCCAGAGGGAATTCTGTTTGAACTAGCCAGAATTCCTCCAAAGCAGAGGGGCAGGGGGTCTAGGGCAGCTGCAGATGCTGGAGTGAGTTTGTCACTCTTGGAAAGGGTGCAGTGTGCTCTCTGCTTCCACATGCAGCAGCTCCCCTGGGCTCTTTGATGGGTGTTGGGGGGGCCATGATTCCATCCTCACCTTACTCTCTTTGAGGAATTAACACCACTGGCACTAGATTAGAGCTGTGATTGTAGATGGCTCCTGCACAGGTTTACAAGGAAATGTAAGGCTTTGTACCCTCTCTTCCCCATTTCTACTTTATGGCCCATGCAGGGAAGGACACATTTTTGCCCAAGTTCCTATGGAGGCTATTTTGATATTTTAAAATGTTCAAAGAGTAAGTGATCAAGTTGTTTTGGTCATACTTACCTTCACAGTTGTACAGGAAATGGAGGCAGTATTCCAGTTAATTTAGGAAACAAACTGGACCACTGAAGTAAGGGAAACGATGTTATACTGAAGGCCAAATGGGAATTTTGCCATTGAGTTCAATAGGATCAAGATTTAACTCCTCGTGTACATTCTACATAAACAGAGTTCTTCACTTTTGCTATCAGAGTGTATATGTTTGGGATCTGTAGGTAGTATGTGCCTCTTATTTTAAAAAAAATATTTTAAAATAGATGTATTACTTAAACAATTTAAATTTTTTCGCTTAATCTTAACTCCACCAAGTTAAGTGAACAGTTATATATTTGAGGAGAAATAATTTCCATAAGAGGTAGGTTATATCTGGCATTTAAGCAATTGTCTTCAGCCACACTTAAGGTCAAATTTTCAGCCTTGCTTTCATTAGGCCTTCTTTTTTTTTACCTGCATAACTGTGGCCTCAAATAACTGTAGATATAATTTAGGACTCTTGAATATTTAAGTACTTGACTGTGCCTGCAAGTCAGGTACATGAGTGTCCATGTGACATGAATGCATTAGCAAGAGTTGCTAGCACAAATAGGTCAGCCACAATTCAAACATTTGACCCTTATTATTTGCACAAAACAGAAAAGAAAGACTATACAAGTAGCTACAGTTTAAGTTTTGTAGATTCTTCAGTCTCCCCCCACACACACACTATGGAGGTGCATTAAACTACTGATGTTTTATGTATGCATTTAGATTTAGAAAAGTCATTAGAGTGTATTGACAATCCCACTGTTTTTGGCAAATATTCACACTTTGGCCGTCATTCAGCATTCCTGATGCAGATATAATTCCATTGATGTCAGTGTTGCATTGAATCATTTGTTGTGAAGTTTAAAGCTAGTGCAACTGAGAGTGAAGTTTCTTACATATTATTTCTAGGGCAGGTAAGCTTTCAATTTTCTGAGTTCGATAATAAATGAAGAAATTAAAAATACGCATTTTGAAAGTCACACTACCTAGTTCACCAAGTTTCCCCTTCCATTGAAAGGAAGTTGACATTTCAACAGAAAGCCTCTTTGTTTTGCTTAGAGGGCTCATTTAGGCATAGTGGAATAAAATAGCTTTGTCTGTTTTAAGAATGCTAGAAGATTGATTTATCATTCATAGTTTAGGGTAGTGAAAGTTACTTAGGTAAAGTTATTTGAAGTTGCTTGTGTTTTTTTCAGATTCTTGCCACCACTAGCCTTTCTACGTAAGCTTCATCAGAAAAATCATCAGCTTTCATGGCCGGTGAAATGTTCAGAGGCATCTTCAGAAATTCCAAAATGCTCACTTTCAGCAGTCAAATAAATGAAAGATAACGGGGTAAAATTAATTTGCTGGAGAGTGTAAACTGAACTGAGTCACACTTTAGTCATCCAGACATTGGATACTGATATAATCTTCTAAAAAGTTACATCAAAATAGTTTAAGTGCATTATATAACTTTGTGTCATTTCCATCACCTTAGTTTCATGCTCAGATATTTAGCTGTTGAAAGGAAAACTGTACAGGAGTCACAGCAGGAGGGAACCTTGTGTCCCCAATTTGAGCAACAAGGAAGACTCACTGCAGAGAATGTTTAGGGGGAAAAACCCTCCTCAGTTAAAGTAATCCAGATAGAGTAACTTTTGATAGACTGACTATGGTAAAGACTGGGATCAGTGCCAGAAGACATTCTGGGTGAAATCCTGGCTTCACTGCATATCAGTGGGCATTTTACCATTGACTTTAGGGGAGCGAGGATTTCACCCTATGTGATCAAGACTCTGTGGAGTAAATGCTGCCTTACATACACGCAGTTCCACCGCCCCACCCGCTTCACTGAGGGCAGTATTTGTCGCTATAGCCCTAAAATTCAGCAAGCACTTAGGCACTTGCATAACTTTGTGTGGGTGAGTTCTATGGGGCTACTCATCAGCGTAATATTATTCACCTGCCTAAGCGTATGCAGATGGTGATCTTAAAAGCTTTTCTAACTCGTTCAATTTCAGGATTTTCATCTAGTTAAGAAGTTGCATAATACTTGACCAAAGCCAGGTGAAGCTGAGTGCTCTCCATTTGTGTATAGCTTTGAGTAACATTTTGGGAAATAAATGACCTTTTCCTCTGTTTTGTGTTTAACTGTAGCCTTTATTCCAATCCGTCTGGCTGGCGGGAGCAATGCTCATGAAGGAAGAGTGGAAGTCTACCACACTGGCCAATGGGGAACTGTCTGTGATGACCAGTGGGATGATGCAGATGCTGAAGTTGTCTGTAGGCAGCTTGGCCTTGGGTTAGTTTTTCTAAATACATTTTACTTCTAACAAAGAAGGAAAGCTAACAAACAGTACACAATGCTTTCAAAAGGAGAACATTTAAAAATTGCAATTACACTTTGAAACCACTAAAATTACAGATGGCACATTTATCAATGTCTGTAGTTAAAGAGGCCTGACGCTTTCCATCATAATACCCTGTTTTCAGTTGCTTATAACTTAACCAAACTTTTGCAGTTTGAGCTGAAGTTTTCCACAATGGGGGGCTGTTTCGGGGTGAAGATTTTTTTTCAGAAAATTTCATCAAAAACCCTTCAGTCATTTCCAGTCATGAGGTTAAGAAAAAATGTTTTGCTCATGTTAAAAAAATAAAATAATATTGTACAACCATTTAATTAAAGGCCTAGCACCTCTTTACTTTGGAGCAGGAACTTGAATTTTGGCATGGGTGCTGCCCTGCCTTTTGCTATCCCTGTGAAAATCTGTCCAAATTTGGCCAAGTTATGAGCCTCTGGAATGTGTCCATTTGCACGTTTGCTAGAGATTTGTTAACGTTTGGCAACTAAATTCTCTGAATATGCTGTCTTCATTGAGAATGATCCATCCCATGGATGCAGAGGGTGAGCAGTACTTTTTCTGCAGTTGTTCCTTCTGGCAGTCAGGAATGACTGTGGCTCTGGGCACATGAACTGAGAGCAGTGAGACGGTCTTCTGCCTGCTGATCCAAGCAGTGAGGAAGAGAGGGAGAAAGCTACCTGATTAGAATGCAAAGGGATGAGGAGCTCAACCTGGGGGAAAACAGGGTGGAGGGATTGAGATAAGAAACTGGAGGGATGGTGGTGGTGGACTGGGACAAAACAGAAGGGTGGGGAAAGACTGGGATGTGGAACCATGGGGGAATGGTGATTAGACAGGCTAGAATGAGGAGCTGAGGAGAGCAGTGCTGGAGGGAAGCTGGGACTGGAACACAGATTGCAGGGGCCAGAGGCATAGGTCAGTGGTCACTAGAACACAGTGGCTCCAGAAACCTGGAATAGAACCCAGGATTTCTAAGTCTCCTGTCAGCAAATACCTAAGAAACCTGTAAGTAAAATATGTGTGTCATCTCCCTCTAGTGGCTGGCCCACATAGAGAATGACAACCTACTACTGCTATCAGTTACTTAGCTCAAGAGGCAGAAGTCTGGGTGGTGGATCTAAGAGGTCTAACCCTGCTGATCAGTCATATGAGAATCAATAAGTTCCACATTTTTAAAAAAAAACTGATTTTTTTTAAACTTGGGAAATTACATACTAAAGCTACATTAAAGAAAATTAAGGTGGCAAAGTGAAGCACTGAAAAATTAGGAAATATCAAAATTTAGGTTGCCTGTGTAACTTTGATTTAACCAAATTGTGCATGTGGATTAGGATACAGTCTTCAATTACTCGATCACACTATTTTTTCCCACAGGACCCCTATCTGATTCAATGGACAGAATGGATAGTGCTCATTGAATGGGTATCCTGCTCATTCAGTTTGTGGCCCCAGGCCTTACTTAGAGCATACCATTCAAGTTGTGCTCTGAATAGAGAATTATTCATTTCCTCATGAGCTTTTCTACGATGCTCAAATGTTACTGGGCTATTATCAGTAAGTTGGAAAAGCTAGTGAATTGCATTTAATATAGAGTGTCATTGGAAAGGGCTACTTGCAGTATCATTATTGTGTCTGGCAGGATTACATTAGGATTACAAAACCCAAGCTTTTGGTTAATTTCTATAGATTTTATTTCTGAGATGGACCTGATTTCCTTTTGTTTTCTGAGTAAAAGTGGATTAATAGGCTCACATGTGTTTGGATGGTGCTTAGACTTTTTGAAAAAAAGTCTACAGTTATATGATCTCAAAGGCTACATCTAAGGGAGTGTTCCCCGAGCTTGGGGAGACAGACTGATGCTAGCTCTGCTCAAGCTACTGCACTAAAAATATCAGGATAAGCCAAGGAGAGCATGGGCAGCAGCTCAGACTAGCTGCCTGAGACCAAACCTGCCTGGATCCCCAAGTATGTATTCAGGCAGCTAGCCTGAGCTGCACTGCTATTTTGAGAAGAGCTAACATGTTGACTGTTTACCCAAGCTGGGAAGCACACTCCCAGAGATAGCATAGATATACCCAAAGAAGCAAGATGTCTTGACAGGTGTGCTCATTATCCCTGGACTGAAATTTTACCAACAGGGGCAGGCACAACAGTTACAAAACAGGGCAAACCATCCACATTTGCCTACAGTTAATCCAAATGGAAATGTGCTACAAAGTGTAAAATAACCCTCTCCACAATAGTGTCCTATGCTCTTTCAGTTTTGCTTTAGCATTATTAGAATATAAAACCTCAGAATATTAATCTTCTGGTGATAAGCAGAAACTACTGCTCATTTATTTCATGATTTGGTTTCCCCATATACTTTTTGATAAACACCAATTTGTTATGTCACTGGGATTTGTGGTCTCTACCACATTGGAAATCTAGAGTCTCATTAGAGTATAATAGACTTTGTTGTCACAGTCAGGAGTTGAAACATTATCTCCCTGATTTCTGAAGGCCTCTTAGCAGATAATAAATTTCTCTCTCTTGCATGCCGTAGTCTCCATCTGCAGTGTAATGAGACCTACAAGAACCAGGAGATACTGGAAAAGGCTTTTTTATTACATGTGTGATTAGCATGCTATGGAAATGTTACCCCATAAACTGAAGTCAGATAATTTATCACAGTTATCCCAGTCCAGCAGTTAGGACCTGTGAGAGTCTGGGGCTGCTCTCCTTCTGGCCTCTATATCTTGCCTACCTTTTACAATTGCAAAGCAAGGACAGTTCATTAAAATTGAAATATCATCTAAAATTTAACTCCTAATTTAATTTTTTAAAAGAAAGGTTGAAGACCTTTTAATATTGGTGAAGTTGACTGGGAGATGAAAGCAAGATGTTAACAAGGCTTCTCGGAAAGTCAAGAGATGAGATTTTATATCATGTTAAAATTGTAAAGGTGGCAGGAGGAGAATTCAAGCACAAATCTAATTTTCTTACCCTGTCATTTTGTGAAGTCTTCTGGATGAGTGTATTTTCAAAGTAAGGAAACTATTTTTTGATTCTTGATAATGGAATTGCAGAGTTTCCTATCTTATTAAATATATGTAATTGTCTATATGGAGTGGTTCCCATGCATACAATCTTATTACATGATTTTGTAATGTATCACACCACTGTCCCCACCCTGCCATGTTAACATTATTCTTGGAAGTACTGTCTCTGGAAGATGCTCTCTAATACTAATAAGAGTTGTACCAAAGATTCACACCTTACTGGATATACACTAAATAGTGGAATAGGGATAGTTAGCTCAGAGATCGATGTTTACAAATATCTGAGTTTTCAAGGGGGACCCATCATAGCTCTACTACTAGTAAAACATTGTATTTGGATCCTGGAAGAAGATCTGCTTATGCTGTAGTGAGCTTTCAGTTGTGTTAAAATAATGCCCTCTAAAAGTCTACCAGTAGGCCAGTCTTACTGTTATACAAAATAGTGCATTCACACCAGCAGTAAGGATTGTCTGCCAATATGCAGGGAGCACAAGTAATATACCTCATGAAAAAGTACTATATAGAGGCCAAAATTTTCAAAAACGAATGCCCTAAAAGTAGGTTCTTAAGTCCATATTTAGCTATGTATATAAATGTAGCCTGATATCAAGAAGTGCTGAGCACCCACAAAGCCCCTCAAAATCAATGGGAAGTAAAGGCACTCAGCATCTTTGAGATTGGGCAACTATTATTTAATGGTTTAAATATGGATTAGCCACCTAGGCTTGAAAAATTGGTCTTCGTATATTTTTGCACTTTACAGCACACAATAGAACATACTACAGATTCATAATAATATAGTACCTAACCCAAATTTGTATCACTTACTAAAACAGCACTTTATGAAGTCTAACAAACAGAACAGGTCTGGTTACAAGGGATACTTTGGTTGAACTGGCTACTTCTCTACCTAATACAAGTATTGCCAACCCCAAGCATTGAAAAGTCAAGAGTCAGGTCCTACAATCATGAGATTTTTAAGAATAATAGATGTGGTTGTCTTTATTTGGCTTCCAATTTTGAAGACTGTTATAAAAATAAAGGGAGGGGTAACCACCTTTCTGTATACAGTGCTATAAAATCCCTCCTGGGCAGAGGCAGAACCCTTTCACCCGTAAAGGGTTAAGAAGCTAAGATAACCTCGCTGGCACCTGACCCAAAATGACCAATGAGGGTACAAGATACTTTCAAATCTGGAGGGGGCGGGGGGGGAACAAAGGGTCTGTCTGTCTGTGTGATGCTTTTGCCGGGAACAGATCAGGAATGCAGTCTCAGAAACTCTGTTAAGTTAGTAAGTAATCTAGCTAGAAATGTGTTAGATTTCCTTTTGTTTAATGACTGGTAAAATAAGCTGTGCTGATGGGATGTATATTCCTGTTTTTGTGTCTTTTTGTAACTTAAGGTTTTGCCTAGAGGGATTCTCTATGTTTGGAATCTGATTACCCTGTAAGGTATTTTCCATCCTGATTTTACAAAGGTGATTCTCTTACCTTTTCTTTAATTAGAAGTCTTCTTTTAAGAACCTGATTGATTTTCCATTTTTCTTAAAATCCAAGGGTTTGGGTCTGTGTTCACCTGTACAAATTGGTGAGGATTTTTATCAAGCCTTCTCCAGGAAAGGGGGTGTAGGGCTTGGGGGGATATTTTGGGGGAAGACGTCTCCAAGTGGGCTCTTTCCCTGTTCTTTGTTTAACATGCTTGGTGGTGGTAGCATAGGGTTCAAGGACAAGGCAAAGTTTGTACCTTGAGGAAGTTTTTAACCTAAGCTGGTAAGAATAAGCTTAGGGGGTCTTTCATGCAGAGTGGGGTTCAGAGTGGGGAAGGAATCTTAACAAAGACTAAAGGCTTAATATTTTCAAGTTACAACCACAACCTATAGGGCTAGAGAATTTCTTAAA